TACATATTGAAATCACATAAATGGCAAGCCAAATTAGATGGCAAACATAGAACAATATTTAAATATATATTAATGACTCACAAAACTATACACTATCACAAAGTACCTTCACACAAAATTAACCTACACTCAAACCCGCGCGTAGCGCGGGTACTCACCTAGTATAATTAAAACCAGATTAGTTTCCTTTGGCATACAGAAATGAATTTTTCTTCTAATTATTACCTTTACAAAAATGGCTTCTCCAATATAAGAACTAGAGCTAAAATTTGTTGACAAAAACAAAGAAGAAAAACGCTAAATTTTATGAAACATTTCAAGAAAAGGTAAATCCTTGTCAATGCTCTCTCTCTCTATCTAGATTTGTTGTCTGAGATTTTTTGGCGTTTGTAAATTTGGAGGAGACGTTTTTTCTTCTCCCGTCAGCTTTTTTGTTTGTGTGTATAGAGAGAGAGGTAAAAAAGACATTTAAATGTGTTCTTGTTTCTAACGTAAACCCTTTGAAACTCACGCTTATTAATTCTCAGTCTCTTTTGATTTATTCTTCTCCATTTGCTCTGATTAATCGAAATATCTCTGGTTCTTGAGGCCAAGAAAGTTTTGATATCGAAAAAGGCGAAGCAAAATATGCTTAACCCGGGGAAAGAAAATGGCGCAGATACGATCACGGAGGTGAAAATTAGAGGCTCTCTTCATTCACTAATCTCGGCTCTAGTTTTGTCTCTTTCTCTCTAAAGTATCTCTTTTTCTTCTTCAAGGACTTTGAAATCGTTGAGTATTATCCACAAGGATATCATGGAGTTGACAAGGAAGGAAAACCTATCTATATCGAGAGGCTGGGCCAAGTCGATGCTACAAAGCTGATGAATGTGACCATAATCGATAGGTACCATGCGAAAGAGTTCGAGCAGACTTTCAACGTCAAATTCCCGGCTTGTTCCATCGCTGCAAAGAGACACATTGATCAGATCACAACGATCTTTGATGTTCAAGGATTGCATCTTGTATGTGCTATAGAAAATTTTTCCCTTATAGAATCTCTGTAAGGATTGCATCTTGGATGATTCGATCTTTGTGTTTTATTTTCATTTGCAGGGGATCAACAAAGCTGCAATAGATCTTCTTCTTAAGAGTATTCAGAAAATCGACAACGATAACCACCCTGAGGTTCACTGCTTTTGCTTCTTCTTTGAGTTACTAATGATTTTGACACAGAACCATGACTTTGTGTTTCATTGTAGACGCTGAACCGTATGTTCATCATCAATGCTGGTGAAATCTGTCATTGACCCAAAAACTACGGCAAAGATTCACGTAAAGCTTTTTTTTTTTTGGTGAAACAGATTCACGTAAAGCTTTTAATTCCTTTTAACATAAAAGATCCAAAAGTTACTTTGTTTTTCTTCATTTACGTTTTGATTAGTTAGTAAGAAGCCACTTTTTCTGTTCATTAATGGCAGGTTCTTGGCAACAAATACGAAAGCAAACTGCTAGAAATCATCGATGCCAAGTGAGAACTTGATAACTCTTTAGAATATGACCTTGGAACTTGTCCTTATCTTCAAATATGTTATCTAAAACCCTCTCTTCTCTTTTATATTTTATAGTGAACTGCCTGAGTTCTTGGGTGGTAACTGCACCTGCGCAGATAAAGGCGGTTGTATGCGTTCAGACAAAGGTCCATGGAATGATCCCGAGATCTTCAAGTTATAATTTAGAATGCAAAATCAATAAGTTGTTCCTATTTGTAGAAATCTTGTTTCTATTGTCGTCAAGTCCAGAGGAAAGGCGAGTCTTATAGCCAGAAGTAAAGCATTGCCTGTTTCAATAGACATGCACAAGAAGAAGATTTGTTAAAACTATATAAAGTAGTGTCATAAGTTTTCCAAAGAAAGTTGATGTTACCATACCTCTTGAACAGCAACAAGAGCTGAATCATCAATAGGAAGTAACTTTTGGTTGTTCTCGCATTCTTAATTTCAGATTGCACAAAAATTAACTCTTCTTCTGATTTCCTCATAGATTCTTGCTTTACTTCACTGGTTTTAG